GGGATCTGTGAACGGTCCTGCGACTTTTCGAGTTACCGATGGCGCTTTCCCCGCGAAAATAGGGCTTCGGTGCGCTGCCGCCGCCTCGGGAGCTTGGTGGGCGGCGAGTGCGGTAGCGCCTGCCAGGATTTTCGCCGTGCATAGGATGGCCCAGGGACTCTCATCCCACCAGGATCCTCCAATGTATGGAGCTGAGCTCTGTCTGGCAGCCTTACTAAAAAGTCAGCGTAATACACAAATTTGTGAGGAACTAGGGTTTGTTAACTTGACGTTTAGGTTAGAAGCGGAGGTCTTTTTTTTCTTTAGCGAGAGCTTTTCGTCTTCTGCCAGTCTGACAAAAGTGGGGGAATTCAGTCGAGTGCAGGTGGGTGCCAGAGGTCTGAAGTCAGTCAGCAGATCTGGGAGGGTTGGTAGGTGTTCGTGTACACACATGATACTGTGACTGGACAATATTTATACATCCTAAGGAAAATAGACTGAAAATAGTTTTGCTGATTAAATAAGCACTACAGTTAATACAATAGTTGTATAAGATTTTTAAAAATTTTATATTGGTCCAACACTTTATGTTTGTGTAGATTGTTTATTACCAACATATTACCATTTTAAAAAAGTTATCAGAGCAAGTCCAGTGGCTTTAGCCATATTTACTCAGCTCCCATGTTAAACGGGAAGATAAGTGCCTTATATTTCTTGTTTTAGATTTATAATCTTGTTTTTATGATCACTGGTTTATAGTCCTTTATTTGTTTTTATGATTTGCTTATATACCTTTTCCTTAATTAAAAGACTTCGCAAGAAGTATTTGTGTAAAGTTGCAATTTGACTGATAAACTTTTCTAACTTTCATCTGTAGGACAGAATAAATGGGGTGTGCATGGAGATAGTACAAGTAATCTTATTTCAGAATAATGGCCCAGACATGCATGCAAAAAATCAGAATTCTAGTTCCAACTCATATATTTCTCTAGAAGGTTAAATACTACTTCATATACTGCCTGAATGAATGGACTGCAAGAAGGCTAAATATGGATTCAGTGATTCATTTAAGGTCATATAATGAGACTAAGATGGGAGGACAATCCTTGTTCTTGTGTCTTAGCTGCAACCTGCCTTGTCCGATTTGAACTGCTCATTTCAGCAGGTGTATTTTTTTCATTTATTTCTACATGATATTGGCCTAACATTTTCAATTTGTGCAGATAACTTAGCCTTTCCCCCTAGTATGGTTGGTCAGACTTTGCTTTTCTAAACATTCTATTAAGAATTGGAAAGTAAGTAAGTTTTTCAGATGGCCTTCTCTCCCATTCTTCTCATTAAGCACTGTAAAATATTTTGAAAGCAGGAATTGTTTGGTATTCTTTTGGAACTATAAATATATTGTTGTGGTTTAGCCCCAGCCAGCAAATAAGCACCATGCAGCCACTCGCTCACTCCCCCTCCCCCAGTGGGATGGGGGAGAGAATTGGAAAAAAAACCTTGTGAGTTGAGATAAAAACAGTTTAATAGGATACCAAGAGAGAAAGAAAGAACAATGATAACAACAATAATAATAATACCGACAAAGGAATGTACAAGAACGAGTGATGCCCAGTGCAGCAATTGCTCACCACCCAGTGATCGATAGCCCGTCCCTGAGCAGCGATGTCCACCCCCCCGGCCAACTCCAGTTTATGTACTGGGCATGATGTTGTATGGTAGGGAATATCCCTTTGGCCAGCCTGAGTCAGCTGTCCTGGCTGTGTCCCTTCCCAGCTCCCTGTGCACCCCCAGCCTCCTTGCTGGCAGGCCGGCACAAGAAGCTGGACTGTCCTTGACTGCTCAGCAACAACTCAAAACATCAGCACATTATCAACAGTTTCTCATCCCAAATCCAAAACATAGCCTCATGCTAGCTTCTGTGAAGAAAACCAGCTCTATCCTGGCTGAAACCAGGACATATATTTTCTGCTTTATAACCAACACAAGGTCTCTATCCTGAGAAGCTTACATCCCAAGTCTTTGTTCTTCTGCAGGTTTACACATGTGCTTAGCTTTAGTGCGTAGCTTTAATTCATCCAAATCCTTGTATACCATGGGGCAGTTTGCGACTGATTCTGCAGAACTTGCACATACGTTTAATAAAAGATGGGGTGAGAACATTGTTATCTACAGGTACTAGCATGCAAAAAACATGTCTTTTCTGACCTTTTGCTACCTTCACTCTTGTTCTTCTGCAGGAAAATAACCTTTGGAGCTACAAGACTGTACCATTGCCCTTCCCTATCACTGTGGTATCATTTAAGAAAAAAAGATTTTGCAACAGTTCTGTTACCAGCTTAGTTACGAGTTTAGTGATGTCTCCGATACCACCATCTGCCTGTTGATAAAAGTGCCCTCTAACTCCAAAGTCCTCCTCTTCTGTCATGGCAGCTGTGTTTCATAGGCAATTTTAGAAGCTTTACATTAAGGGTTTGGAGGTTTGAAGGAGTTTTCCTTCATTGTGACCCAAATTAATATTCTGAACTTCAGCTTGGCTTGTTGAAAACAGGACAGTTCTTAAAAGTAGCTTTTTACTACCTTTTTTTTTTTCTCTCTCCACACACAAATTGCAGCGTTTGTGAAAAGCTCTCAAGGCAGAACTCTGTCTGCAGAGCAGTAATGAAACAGATGTGATTCCTGTACGGTGCCTTAACGCTGGTTTAGCAGAAGCTGTTCCGGCTTCTTGATTGTGACTGTTGGCAAATGTGGCAGCTGAGTGATTTTAGGGTCATTAACCTTGGTGCAGTTGTAACTTCTGTGAGTTTGATTTAGGTACAGTTCTCAAACAACTGTTAGTTGAAAATATTTTTTATCTTTAAGACAAACAGTAATTGACCATTACAGCAAAGTGTCTTAGGAAATGGTTAATTCTCCATCTCATATGTCTTCAAAATAAATTTTCTTCAAAATATGCTGTAACCAAACACAATTTTTGAGCGTAGTTCGGGGTAATTAGATACATTTAACTTCCCTTATACTTAGAAAGGTCAATGTTGTCTTCCAGCCTTAACCTCCATGAATGAAAACTATTTCTGATCATTCCCATGACAGTGGTTTGAAGCATACATACAACACAAGGGTTAAAGGTGATTTTTTTTTTCTTTCCATCATCAGTCCCCTGAAGTACTTGTTTCACCTTTGTTTCCAGAATTAATAATACACATTTTCACATATACTGTGAGTGACCCTCTAGTGAGGTGAATATTGTAATCTGAAGCATGACTTTTGCAATGAAAGGAGTTCAGTTCCATTTGTTTGATCGTTGCTTCTTTACCTGGATATTCTCTGTCATGGTATTTCTTTTTTTCTTTATATTTCATCCTAATAATGGTCTAAAATTCTAATTGTGTGTTTAAAAGATGTTTAGTTCGAAGGCAGTAAGAGGTCTTGCAGACCAAATTTGAATTAATGTGTAGAAGTACAATACTTTTTCTCCTCCAGAAGTGAACAATCATCTTAAACTCACATGAAATCTTTTTGTGTTACTTGAAAACTCACAGATTAATAAATTCCAAGTTGTCAGTTTCTGCAGTCATGGAAAGATAGCAAAGATGGAATTCATGTCAGGGAAGCCCAGGTTCTTTTCCTAGGCCCTGAAATATGAGGGAGACAAGGGCCTGCTAGGAGTTTTGTTACGGGAATTCTCTTCTGACAGATTTTAGACATCGCAATTCAAAACCTTACATAATGAAATCCAACTACTAGGGAAAAAATAAGGTTTACCAGGGTGAGTAGTGTTTACCTCAGTTACCATTCTGTGCCCTCAACCTCCTGGCTGCTGTCAAGATCAATTTTTTGGTATGCCACAACCTAGCTTCCATTTCAGATTGTCTTCTTACATAAATAACTCTTAGTGTCTGCCGCAGCTGTGACTGTTGCTTTCATAAGCCCTGTCATTGAAACTTGCATGCCTTTTTCCTGTGTCATCTCAGACATCAGTTCTAAGTAGCAGTAGGAAAACTTGACAACATACTGATTAGTTTTTCAATTTACTGCGCTTTTCCAGTGCAGAAGGTCCCTGGAGTTAAGAACACTTTTTCTTTTTGTATTTTTATGTAGGCACTTGTCTTTGTGGTGGTAAATTAATGCCAATTTACTGAAGGTGTAAAATCACTTTAAAGGAAATTTTTATCATTTCAGATTTTTTTTTTCGTTAGCCATTTATACATTAATAAATTTTTTTTGGCTTTGTTGAGCTTTTCCCCTCAGATTTCTCCAAGGCAGGACTTTTTTGTGTGTATCACAGTAGGTCTTTGCTGCAGCTTGGTTTGTGATCCTTGGATAGGCAAGCAGAAAGGAAAATGCAAGCAGATAATTTTATGTCTTGAAGTAAAATGAGACTACACTTAAATGTGTATGATTTAAGAACAGGAATTTAATAAAAAATTGCAACCTGGTGGCAACTCTTAAAGAAGCGGTGAATGTCAGGTTAAATGTGGTGATATCCAACACTGTTCTGCACTCTGGAGTTGGGAAAGATAGGTTATGGATAAACACATGTCTGTAGTTTTACACTGTTTTGTGTAAAAATGAGTAATGAATTGGTGCTGGGCTTTTCTATAGTCTTACCTAGAACACTACATAGAGATAGAAGATACTTTTTGTGTGTGTGACACTTAAAGATTTCAGAAGTGAGCTAATAAAAATTGTGTAACAGTTTATGTAATACAAAGATTAGATAATGAAACAAGAAGACATAAATGAAAACCCATCTTTTGCAATATGGAGGAGAAGGCTGTAGGACTACAATTAATGCACTGAATCATAGGTGATTCCTATCCTAACGGTAGTTTCCTTTATGTAAAATTATGGAAGGGAATTGCCTAGTATTCTTCTGCTATGTATTAAAATTTCTAAAGTTTCCTCTTCACTAGCAGTTTGGGAATAGATTACTACAGAAGCATTGTTGTGTGAATGATTTTGCAATCTGTCCCACAAAATGCAGTTTAGAATGGAAGACCCACATTTTTTTCTGTCACTTAGGATAGTTTATCACTTGAATAGCTGTCTTCTGTTGACTTACCTCTAAAGACCCTAACACTTTTAAAGAGCATATGCTTTTATTTTGCAGCTACAAGATTGAGTTTATTACTTACCAGTTACTGGATTTCTCCTGGTAGTGTATTATAGTGTGGCCCCATCATATTTAAATCCCAGCATTCAATAATATTTTAGAAGAACAGCGAGTAATTTGTCCCATGACACCCTCTGTTATCACTTGTGCATACTCTCCATCTCTGTCATTTGTTAATGACGAAGTATTTTCTTCCACTCCTGGGATGGTTAGCTGCAAGTACATGTAATCTGAGACAAAACCCACGCTTCTGAGCTGTCCTACTGGTGTGCTTTGTGCATGGGAAGGTCATGAGCCACAAACCCTTTCTTAGCCCTAAATCAGCTGCTTTTTTTTTTTTCTCCGATCATGTGGTAAGCAGTGGGAACTGGTGGGTGTATAGGTTAGTATAATGGGGCACTGGCTGTCCCTCACATTGGAGCTCTCAGAGCCATTAAGCGCTACGCGTTGCTAAGGCATGGATAGTTTAGAGGTAGAGATCACAGAAATGAGGTTGTCTTTAAGTGGCAGTGGAATGGTTGAAAAGAAGAGGAAAAAAACTTTGAGATCATCTATGCCTCTTCCTCTTTCCTTTGGAGTCCAATCAGGTATTGCTGACCTGTTCCTGACAGGTTTTTGTCAAACTGATTTTTAAAATTCTCTCCCCATCAATGACAGTTTTACAACTTCTAGACTATTAATTGATTTCACTGCCTTAATTAGAGTTCTTAAGGTAACTGAATAAATACAGTTTATTTTCCTTTTCTTGGTACCCTGTGTGTATCTGGAGATAGCTATGTTCTTCTCTTCAGTCTTCTCTAAAGGTTTTACTCAAATTTTTGCAATAACAGACTTTGAATTCAACTCTCTTTATGTGATTTCTTTAGCTACTTTTAATTCACAGCAGTAACTCAATTCCTTTAGGGCAGGAGAATTTGGTGTTATTATTGGCTGCAGATGTCAACAGTGGCTGTCTTGCTTTGGAGAAACTAAGGTGTTACTTGCAATAAATAAACATAATTCAATTTAATTGTTTAGTTTTATCCTTCTTTTATAATTTATTCATTTCATGTTTCTTATAACAATTGAAAACTCTTCTTACGCCTCTTATAACTTCTCTGTGGGTTGTGACCCATGGTTTAACAAATAGTCTTTTAAATCATCTTCTACTCTCCCATTTAGTCATTACCTCTCATGAAATATGATGTGAAAATTGAAAAGGGCAGACTATACCAGTAATATTGAATAGAACAGTTTGTTTTTTTCATGTGTGCTTATATTGCCTTTCATATATATACAAGAGAGTACTTGTGACTCTTTATTTTACTTTTTGCTCTGATAGTGTTATGATGGTGTCTTACTGTCAGTTTATGATCCAGTGTAGCCCCTGGATCCTTTTCTGCGGAGCTGCTTTTTAGCTGGTCATTCCCCACCCCTAAAGTTATTTATTTCCCCTAAGAACTATACTTTGTCCCTGTTGAATTGCATCCTATTTGTATTAGATTCTTTGTCCAGTTTGTCAGAATTGCCTCGCCTTCCAGGATGTTTGCAGACCCCTCCTGACTTGCCGATGTCTGTATTCCCGGTCCATGTACTTTATTTTGCTATATACAGGTCATGAATGGAAATTCCAGAATGCACCAAGCTGAGATTCTGAGCCCTCTCTGAAACTCTGCTGCAAATATGCACCTAGTTAACTGTAGTTATTGTTCATTACATGTAGTTTTTCTAACTGTTTTTGTACCTGCTCAAAAGTAATTTAATTTGCAACTCACTTTCCTACTTTATATTGTATGACCCAATGACAAAAGCATTACTGCAATTATGATGTCTTTCCTCTACCCACTAACCATGTTACCTGATCAGGGAGGAAAACTTTTTCTTCTTGTGCTGTTCCTGAGGAGCTGGCATTGCTTTTTATTTGTTATGGTGTTACCTTGTTAAGTGCTTTATTTAAAAAAAAAAAAAAAATCTGCTTGTACTTGTTATGGTATTTTTGAGTGTTTTACAGTTGTTTTGAGTGCTGTGTGAATTTCTGGATTTGCCTTTCTTTCCTTTCTAGATAAAAAAGTTGTTTCATTTTCCTAGTATTTTGGAACCTTACCTGCCTCTAGTGAGGCCTCAAAAAAAGCTGCTAGAGGCCATTGTGTTGCTTAGGAAATTTACCTAAAGCATTTAGGGGTGGATTTCCTTAGATCTCAGAATGTTCAAAATATCTAACTATGTAGTCTGAGATACACACTTTTCCTACTCCAATCTATTTCTTTTATCATTGCTACAAATTGTTTTACTCATGATTACACTTAACATTTTAAATGACAGTAGAGGTAAAGAAGATATTAAACACCTTTTCAGTATGTTCCATTGTTAACTTTCTGATCTTACTGACTTAGCAAACCTTCTTTGTAATCCTGTGTATTCTTTCCTTTCCTAGTTATAGCTCATTTCATGTCTAGCAATTCTGTCTTTTTTCTTTTTTTTTAAAAACAAAATTTCTGCTTAGGGATGGCCCTATCTCTTCTAGGCAGAAGATAAATGCCAGCAGAGCAGGCTGTGGCATTGCAGGGCTTCACAGCTATTGCCTTGCTTAGTGTGGTCTTTGAGTCTTTCAGCTTGCTTACAGAACTCCTGTTATGGTCTCCTGTTTGCTGGCTTTTAAATTCTTTCTGTCTTATTTAGCCCACCTCTCTCTAAAGGATTAATCTACTCAAAGAAATGCAGTTTGGAATTTTTGAGTGGTTTTGCCCCTGTTGGCGGGGGGGGAAGTCAAAACTTCCCTTGCAACAGCTTACCCAAATCTTACTGCTCTCCAGTTGGGCTTTTTAGTGTCTGTGCTTGTGAATAATAAAAATAAATGTTAAAAGATAGTACTAGAGGTGTTTACTACTAAAGTTAGAAGTTGATTAAATGAAAAATGAAGGGTTAACATACTCTAGTGGTTGTATGGGCAAGTAATGTATATACGTCTCCATCTAAACTGTTAAGAATGTGTGTTGTTTATGAACATAGGAGGGTGCTTTTCAAAACTTCTCTATTAATAATCTGCTTTTCATTTTACAGCATACACAGCTCAGGCAGATGAGAAGACAGTCACTGGTACTCCTACAGACGCTAATGCCAGAGCCTTACTGGTTTGCAATGGACCTTTAGAACATTATGACTTTCTGATTAAGCAAGAAGAGCTGAGGAATGATGAGCAACAAAGAAAAGTTGTGCAGCACTTGCAGAAGTTGCATGAGAGCCTTAAAGGCTACAGCATCAGTTCAAAAAATCTTATCTCAAAGGTGAGGCTTATAATGATAAAAATATTTTTTTGCGTTTATTTTTGCTCATAGGAATGTGCTTAAAATACATAAATCTCTGTCACTAACACGAGTCTTATTTTTGCAGCTGGGTTTTTACAGATAGATAATTGTTTATATTTGGATCTCTGTTAATTCTTTTTTGGTTTGTAAAATTCCAGTGGCACTCTACAAGTAATCAAATTAAATATTATGGAAATAATTCTATAAGAAAATTTGATATGATTTTGGTTATGTCTATCATCTGCTTTTCCAAAAATGTCAGTTGGCTATAGGAGAGAGGGGCCTAGACCAGGTTTTAATTCTCAAGCACTGGTATAACACGTGTATTCTAAACAACAGAGCTCAAGGAGTTATGGTCAGCGGTGCAGAGTCCAGTGGGAAGCCTGTAGCTAATGGTGTTCCCCAGGGATCAGTACTGGGTCTGGTTTTGTTCAACATCTTCATCAGTGACCTAGATGAAGGGTTGGAACATACCCTTAGCAAGTTTGTTGATGATACAAAACTGGGAGGAGTGGCTGATACACCAGGAGGCTCTGCTGCCATTCAACAGAATTTGGACAGACTGGAGAGTTGGACGGAGGGGAACCTTGTGAAATTTAACAAGGACAAGTGTAGAGTTCTGCACCTGGGGAGGAAGAACCCCATGCACCAGTACAGGTTAGGGGTTGACCTGCTGGAAAGCAGCTCCATGGAGAAGGACCTTGGAGTCCTGGTAGGCAGTAAGTTCTCCATGGGACAGCCATGTGCCCTGGTGGCCAAGAGGGCCAATGGTATCCTGGGATGCATTAAGAAGAGTGTGACCAGCAGGTTGAGAGAGGTTATGCTCCCTCTCTACTCTGTGCTGGTGAGGCCTCATCTGGAGTACTGTGTCCAGTTCTGGGGTCCCCAGTTCAAGAGAGACAGGGAACTTTTGGAGAGAGTCCCAATTGAGGGCTACAAGGATGATTAAGGGCCTGGAACATGTCTCGTATGAGGAAAGTCTGAGAGACCTGGGGCTGTTTAGTCTGGAGAAGAGAAGGCTGAGGGGGGACCTTATAAACGTCTATAAATACCTGAAGGGTGTCTCTCAGGAGGATGGAGCCAGTCTCTCTTCAGTAGTGCCCAGTGATAGGACAAGGGGCAATGGGCATAAACTACAGCACAGGAAGTTCCACCTCAACATGAGGAAAAACTTCTTTACTGTGAGGGTGATGGAGCACTGGAACAGGCTGCCCAGAGAGGTTGTGGAGCCTCCTTCTCTGGAGACCTTCAAAACCCAACTGGATGCCTTCCTGTGCAACCTGCCCTAGGTGATCCTGCCTTGGCGGGGGGGGTGGGCCCCCCTGGGTGATCCTGCTTTGGCAGGGGGATTGGACCAGATAATCTTCAGAGTTCCCTTCCAACCCCTACCATTCTGTGATTCTGTATTTGGGTTATACTGAACGCTGATGTTTTGTGTTCTAACAGATCTTCCATGAATATAAGTGAAATTAGCTGGCAGAGTCTAAATCATTTAGCTTTGCAAAACTTTGTAATATAGATTAGACATGAAATTTTATAAAAATGTGTATTCTTTTTGGTGTTGTTAGTCTCCAGGTGAGGTAAGGTCTGCACCCCAGTTGTGTTTTTGGGAGCATCACAGCTCCTTTTCAAAGTATTAATAAAAATTCAGACATATGCCTGTTGCACAGTGCCTCAGCGACCATAGTGCCTTAACATTAGTAAAGCTAATAGCCTGCTGTTGCAGCTCTGTAACTTTTCCCTGAAGCTGTTGACTCAGTGTTTTCCAGAGCCTCTGTGGCAGTATCTTTGATGTTTTCTTCTCATGCTGTTGTTCTCAGATTGTGCTCTTGTGGCCTTGCACCTGCGAATCTTGGTAGTGTTGTTATGGCAGGTTCTCGTGGGAAGCAACTAGAACTGGTCTGAGAATCCCCCCCATAGCTTTCCTTGCCTCTTGTGTAGATTTGAGTTTATATCCCAGAAAACCAACCATAGTGACCAGCAAAGTAGATAAGACATTTAATTACTTGGTAAATATTAGGCAATCATAGATGTGCACAGAAGCTGAATGACCAGTGAATATGCTTCATTTGCACCTGATTAACATAACCCAGTCAACACAAATAGTCATAAACTTGGTGAGGGGAAACAAGAATAGGGTGTTTGACTGAGTGTGATGATAAAAGCATAGTACTGGGGAAAAAAGCGTGGCAAAATATTCATTGCCGCCATTATCTTCACTTTCCCTGCCTGCACTGGAGAGACACCTCCCTGCCCCTAAGAGGAGGTTGTCTGGAAGCTGTCAGTGCTCTTCCCAGTCAGCCACTCAGTGTTTTCCTTTTTCTTTCTCTCGCTTATACCGCTTTTGTTTTTATTTTTTGTCAGAAGTAAATTTCACATTTAAAGTCAATGTATGGCATCAGCTGCAGACCTTGCTAATAAATCTCCAGGTCAGCCTTTCTCAGCATCCTTTATGCAACACACCACATCTAATGGGCATAAATTTAAATATCTAACTCTATTGAACTTGTTATCTAACCATATACTTCCTATTACAACCCCAAATTCTCCTATTACCTGGCATAAATACTGTATTTTTACATGGCAAGCCTAAATGATGTAGCATGAGATCAAGGGAACCAAAGCCTAACAGGGCTCAAGCTGCCTTTAAATGACATGCTGTCCTCTCCCATTTAGGCACCAAATGCAAGTTACAACTCTGAGGCTCTTGTGATGTGTATTAGCTTCAAGGCATCAAAAACGTAGAGAAGAGAATGTTGGTCTGAGAACAGGTATTATACCTGTATATGTGCCCATTTCAAATAGGCGAGTAAAGCAAGGTGCAGAGCATTGGGACACAGGCTTGCCTATCAGACTGCCTCCAACATCCCCCGAATGCTTTAAACTCATATATGTAACTGGAGATCATGTATTTGCTAATTGTATGCTTGGCTGTGTCCCGGTTTCAGCTGGGATAGAGTTAATTTTCTTCACAGAAGCTGGTGTGAGGCTGTGTGTTGGATTTGGGATGAAAAGAATGTCGATAATGTACTGATGTTTTCAGTTGTTGCTAAGCAGTCAAGGACTATCCAGCTTCTAGTGCTGGCCTGCCAGCATGAGAAGGGATGGGGGATGCACGGGAAGCTGGGAGGAACACAGCCAGGACAGCTGACCCAGACTGCCCAAAGGGATATTCCATACCATATAATGTCATGCTCAGTATATAAAGTTGGGGGAAGAAGCAGGAAGGAGGGGATATTCGGAGTGATGGCATTTTGTCTTCCAAGTAACCGTTATGCGTGATGCAGCCCTGCCTCCCTGGAGATGGCTGAACGCCTGCCTGCCCATGGGGAGTGGTGAATGGAATTCCTTGTTTTGCTTTGCTTGTGTGTGCAAGCAAACACATGTGTTTGCTTTACCTATTAAATTGTCTTGATCCCAACCTATGAGTTTTCTCACTTTTACTCCTCTGATTCTCTCCCCTATCCCACCATGGGGGGAATGAGCGAGCAGCTGTGTGGTGCTTAGTTGCCGGCTGGCGTTGTACCACAACAGACTGGAAATGCCATAAATGTCTTCCTGCCTCCTGATGAAAAGCAGCAGATTAAACACCTAGGAAGGAGCTCTTTTTTTTTTTTTATTGAGATACAGTGAAAAGAAACCTGAATGTGAAATAATTCCATGGAGCAGAGGCCAGGCACTCTGTAAGGAAAAGCTCGAGAGTAGTGAAGTACAGGAAGCAAAGTGCTAAGGCAAGACTGCTCCTAGAGGGCAATGAGTGTGTCTTTGGAAGTTCTGCTCTGGAAGCAGTTGACCCGATCATCCTTATGGGTCCCTCCCAACTTGACATATTCTATGACCCGGCATTAAACAGGGGGTTTGGCCGCATGATCCCCTGAAGTCCCTGCCAACTTAAATCATTCAGTGATTCTAACTCTGATGTGGGAATTGGAGCCAAAGAATGGCTTGGGGTATTTTTTGCCTGCTCTGGCTGGTGCGTCAGCTCATCACATTACTTACCATTTTACTTTTGGGATTTCTTTAATTAAAATTATTAAAAACATAAAACCAATGTAAAAATGATAGATATAGTCTGAAAACTGTATGTTTATGGTGTTCGAAAACACTTATTTATACTGCATGTGGGTGTGTGCTTGTGGATCCATGTTGTCTTGATGCCTTTGTAGGCTAAGTCTTGAGTCTAAATGAGCCTCCTGATTCAGTTTGGGCAAGTACCAAATAAAATGTGGAAATTTCCTCTTTCAAAATGATTATTGCTTATCTTTGTTATCCAAAGCAATATGGCAGTGTGCCTGAAGGAGAACTGGTTTTGCATAACTGTAAGGAGATCAAGCTGGATTCAGCTTGCCAAACTACTTCTGTAAATGTAATCTAGCAGGCCAGAATTTTGTGTCTTGAGGATGCTCGATGTGAAAAGTTTGTGGTGGGGTTTTTTTTTTTTTTTTTTCCATCTGTCTGGGCATCTTTTTAAGCTTTGGTGTTGGACTCATAATCTCTTAAATTGCCTATCTCAAAATTGTCTTTAGACATGGTGCCTGGACTGTAAAAGAGGAAGTAACTCAAAAGGAAGCCGGTTATCTGGCTTGCTCTTACATTATCTTTTGGACATACTTCCAGACTTGTATTAATTTTCATTCTTTAGAAAAAATGCTATGATGAAGGTGTTGGTCTGTCAAACCTGAGGATCAGTAAGCTAGAGCATTCTGGTAAACTGTTTTGGACATTTGGATATTCTGTTCTAACAGTGCTGCCTTTGAGAATAGTTTTGAGGGCTGACTTGTGTTAACTAGAGTGCCCTGAATCATTATCGTTGTTAGAGCATGTGTCTTGTAATGGCTTTGTAGATCAAGCATTATGTGGGTTGTTATTCACTGTTTCTTTGATTAGGGAGCATGAATAGGGAAGAAAGTCTTTATTGCAGAGAACAAATACTAATCTTACTCTATTTAGGAAATTGTGATGCTACTTTGTCCCTGTAT